TTTTTTTTAACTAAATATTAATTTTGCTTATTTTAGGACATATAAATAAAATGATACAGTATGCACTGCTCTGTAAGGCTTCTTTCACTCATTTTAATTCACTTTTTACTAGTCAATCATGCCCTTCATTCCTTTTGCTTTCTGAGTTTTATTCTACTATTTGAATATACCACAACTGTGGCAGTGCTGGGTAACCAGTGAATTGCTAACACTAAGGTGGGTGGTTCAAACACATGAGCCACTTTTCCGGAGAAAGTTGAGGCTATCCTGTTCTCATAAAGATCTAAAGCCTCAAACCCTGTTAAAGGGTAATATAAATTGGACTATAATGACATGGACAGAGGACAAGTTGTGGGAGTAAATTCCTGAAGGGACATGACTCAAAACGGGAAGAAACAGCTGCAAACATAAGTTAAAAATCAGAACTTGGAAATTAGGAAATTTTTAGAAGTGAAATGGAATGCATAAAGACCAATATTCTATCTATGTGTTAGTGAGCTACAGTGGACTGGTATTGACCATTTTGAATCAGAAAATCATATGATTTACTATGCGAGGAATGACACAATCAAGAGGAATGGCTTTGCATTTATTGTCAAAAAGGACATTTCAAGGTCTATCTTGAAGCACAATGCTGTCTGTGATAGGATGCCTATTCCCATATAAGGAAATCCTATCAGTACAACTATTATTCAAATTTATGCACCAACCACTAAAGCTAGTGATGCAGAAATTGAAGAATTCTACCATCGTCTTCAGTCTGAAACGGATAAAAGATGCACTAATTATTATTGGCTGTTGGAATGGAAATGTTGAAAACAGAGGAAAGCACAATAGTTGGGAAATATGATCCTGATGATAGAATTGAAGCTGGAGATTTCATGATAGAATTTTGTAAGATCATTAATTTGTCCATATCAAATACATTTTTTCAACAACACAGTGACTATACACATGAACTTTTCCAGATGGAATACACAGAAATCATATTGACTTTATCCGTGGCAAGAGATGATGGAGAAGCTCATATCTGTAGCTAAAACCAGGTCAGTGGAACAGACAATCAGTTGTTCATTTGTAAGTTCAGTTTGAAATTGAAGAAAATGAAAAGTCCACAAGAGTGAAAATATGACCATGAGGATATCCTATCCAAATTTTGAAAACATCTCAACAGCAGGTTTGATGCATCAAACACAAATGACAGAAGACCTGATGGGCTGTGGGAGGACATCAAGAACATCACACATGCAAGGGCTCAAGTAGAAAATGTTTTGGAAATGATGATGGCACACATGTACAAATATGCTTGATACAATTGATATATGGAATCTTTTAAGAGCTGTAAGAGCCCCCAATAAAGTGATTAAAAAAAGAAAATCACACATTAAGAGAAAATAAAAGGTCTTTAAAAAGACTGTAAAGAAAGGAAAAATCAAAGTGTATGTCCGTGGAGACTCTGAAACTTGCTCTTTGTCCTAATTAGCTAAGACAAATGGAAAAAATGATGAAGTAAAAGAACAGAACAGAAAATTCCCAACAGCAGATTGAGAAGAAAAAAACCAAGTATTATAATGAAATGTGCAAAGCCCTAGAGTTAGAAAACCAAAAAGTAAGAATATGCTCAGCATATCTCAAGCTGAAAGAACTTAAGAAAAACTCAAGCCTCAAGTTGCAACGTTGAAAAACTCTATAGGTAAAATATTGAATGATGTAGGAAGCATCAAAAGAAGATGGAAAAAATACACAGAGTCACTGTACCCCAAAGAATTAGTTGACAGTCTACCATCTCAAGAGGTAACATGAGCAACCATATGAAAGGAAGAAGTCCAAGCTACACTAAAAGCATTAGCCCCAAACCAGAAATTGATGGAATACCAATTGAAATGTTTCAACAAGTTGATGGAGCACTGGAAGCACTTAACTCATCTATGCCAAGAAATTTGGAAGACAGCTATTTGGCCAACTGGAAGAGATCGATATTTGCACCTAATCCCAACAGAATGCTCAAAATATAGAATGTTGTCATTGATATCACATGCAAGTAAAATTTTGTTGATGTTCATCCAACAATGGTTGCAGCAGTACATTGACAGAGAGCTGCCAGAGGTCCAGGCTGGATTCTGAAGAGGACATGGAACAAGGGATATCATTGCTGATGTCAGCTTGGCTTGACTCAAAGCAGAAAATACCAGAAAGATGTTTACTTATGCTTTATTGATTATGCAAAGGCATTTAACTGTGTGGATCATAACAAACTCTTGGTACCCCTGAGAAGAATGGGAATTCCAGAACATTTCATTGGGGATATGCAGAACCTATATATGGGTCAAGAGGCAATTGTATGAACAGAACAAGAGAATATTACATGGTTTAATAACAGTAATGATTGTATCCTTTCACCATATTTATTCAATCTGTATGAGGAGCACATAATTAGAGAAGCTGGATTATATG